TATCTGTAAGGTTGGTTATCTTCTTATTTCCATTCCGTTCGTTGAGCTAGATTTACTACAGTTTAATGCAGTAAAAATAAAATTCTAAAACTTGTGCTTGAACTCGTCTATATACTTTTACGAGCCTAGAACAACATCCGTAACAGATGCTAAAGTAAAGATAGGCAAGTGCTTGGCTCCTCTAACAGCATATTTGTGTCGAAGAATGGATACGAACGCTTATGCGCTTCCCGTCGAGCAAAATATTTTCTTCAATATCGTCAGAGTTCCCAAAACAGCTGAACAGCAGGAACACGAACATACAATATAAGAAGCAGCAAATTAGGACAGAAATAATATGAAAACAGTATATCCAGATAGGGAAAGGAATTAGGATCTACAATTAGCGTCCAGCAGAGATTACTAACATTTTTAGATATGAAGCCGATTTTACTCGTAGCTCAAAAAAAATAATGCAACATATCAACTAAAAAAAACTTTGTTTAGATAGGTTGTAAAGCGAAACTTGAGACAGGTAGATCATCTTTTCCACAACGGGAATGAAGCCGCCGTTCTAGAGATCGTTATGGAATGAGCTCAACGTAAAAGAACAACGAATCGTGTAGCTAAATACATATGTCACTCTTCAAAGATTCTCTCACAGAAAGGTGTGAGAGCTCTTATGACCTGTTAAAGATCTCTTTCTATTGATTTCGAAAGTAATCGCGTCATATCTTTCAATTGGGTCGAATTGAGTTTGAGCTGATTTATTACATGAACTGATAGAGTGCGTAACGTGAACGCACAGACAAACGTCGAATTTCTGAAATCACACTTTTGGATAGCACTTTCTACAGCGCAAAATAAAGTAATAATAAATAAAGTAAAGCACTGCGCATTTTTTTGAACAGCCAAAGTTGTTCACTCTACTTAATCTATTCACATGCGAGAACCGTGCAGAAAAAATTGGTTTACATGCTTGAATTACAATGTACGATTTTCTGGAAAACGGGCACACGATTTATTATACAGTTTGATAAAAAGTATCTCCTTATTATTGATCTCAAGTTGTACAAAATTAAAAGAAGTCGACCACCACACATAAATTCCTCATTCCATTTTTAAATAGTAGCTCAAAAGGAGAGAAGGTAAATTTATGGGGAACCTTCGTGCGCGAAGAAACAGAAAAGTAGTATCGGATTAAATGAAAGTGATGGAGCTTACCACTCAAAAAATCTTTATGCGAGTTGTACTATTCGTGAAGGTTATGAGTATAATCGCGAATTCCAGGAAGGGTCTCAGACAGGAAGAGGGAAACTTGGCCAAGAAACAGACATGAGGAGTTTATAAAATTTAATTTATGAACTTTTCATGAGTTTAAACAAATCCTCGGCTGCTATTCACGGGATAAAGTTTTTTATAATCACATTTTCTGTTTCGCGTTGCCGTAAAAACTATTCACTTTCTGATCGTATTATCGTTTTTTCCAAAAAAGTTGCCACTATCGTTTCAAAGGACCTGCCATTCTGTATAACTTCTAAAAGCATCTCCTTGCCGTTATCCTATCTATTTGGGATCAAATTGTTTTAACCCCTTTTTAATTTTTTTCTTCCTTCTAAATTTCAAAAAATTGGACAGCCCTTCGCTGGTCTCACTGCCGCAGAATGACATGTGAGTCTTTTGGGCCCCTTATGGGGTCACCCGACAGAAAGAAAATCAAGATTGAAAGGTGTTTTATCCACATTTTCTTTTACCATATATTTCAACACCTCAATTCGTTATATAGCTCTCAAAACTTCATATTACAGACGAAGTATTGGCTTTCCCGCCGCAGGAAATCTGCTCGGACTGAGCAAGAAACCGGCAAAAAATAGCTGCCCGGCTAAAGCAAACATGTGATTTTTCAAAAGGGAGAGGTATGGGTATAAGTGACTACAATGGCTGCTCAAGTATGAAACTATAGGGACAGTTATACTTTCCATCGGTGAAATTTTACAAGAATCCAAGTCCAAATTTTACTGCTAGTAAATGATAAGACTCGTGTGACGATAAAAGGTGAAAAGAGGATGGAAAGGTGCGGGTAAGAGCGGGCGAAAGTGATGGAAGAGGAGAGGGGAAGGGAGGAGGGAGGAGAAAAAGGTGGAAAGAAAAAGGGCAAAAAGGTTCTGTTCTTTACTTTTCGATTTTGAGATTATCCTAAGCCTAGTTTGATCCTAGTATTACACGTAATATTCCTTTTGTCGCCTCTGCCCAGAACTAATTCAAATTGAAGCCAATGGAACGCAAAAAAAGCGTTGTTCCAATTTCGTTTAGAGAATTGAAGAGGTATAGCGATGTTTCAGATATCTCCGATTACCAAAAACTAATAAACTACAATTTTGAAGGAGCCAGAAAAGAAAAAACACGATCTTCTATATGGCTTTGAAAGCGCACCATGAAGTTTACTTTTGATATAATTCGTTCCGAGTGGTGCATTTCAGACAAACGAAGGTAATCAACTAGATATATTTTAAAAATCTGAAACTCTTCAAGACCCTGT